AAGAAAGAGAAATAGAAGGAAAAAGGAAAGAAAAAAGGAAAAGAAGAAAAAAAACAGGAAAGAAAAAGGAAAGGAACAGAACGGGTGTGGAAAGAAAAAAGAAAAAAGACAGAAAAGAAGAAAAAAGAGGAAAAACATAAAAAAGATCTAAAAATGAATCATTAGTGTTAATTATATTCCAGAAGAGAAAATATATTGTCCACGCCGATAAAGATGAAAAAAAATAATAAAAAGTATTTAACTCTCGGAAAAGAGATGCTCGCCAGCGATTAAATACATCCAGTTAATCTGTTTCAATTGCCATTTGTCCGAAAGATTATAAACTTTTTCTATTTCGACATATAACACACACAATTGATGATTTTCTCAAACTGCGCGCTTTCTCCATACACATAAGTGTTTAGAGTGACTTTTTATGTACCTCGTGTCGATTAATCGCGCGCAGTCACTCGAGAGAGATAAGATTAGGGGTTAACAGGGTGTTAAACCAAAACCGTTAGATCTGGAAAATGTTCCATCCAACCGAAACAAGTGACACACTATATATATACTCTGCTCGCACCGGGTGAAAACACCAAGACCAAAATACATATCAAGAAAACTCCTATTATAACGGAATCACTAAATATCCATAGAGACATTCCTTACTTTTTTTCTTTCTTTCCTCGCAGACTGTATCTTTATCTTCAACAGACATATATATAACAGTTAACTTCCCGTCTGGGAAATTATCGAAATTAACAATCATATACAACAAATCTTGGACACACACAAATGTAGTACACCGGACACATTTATTATTTTGAAAAATATTTACATTTGAATTTAAATTCATTCGATTCATTTGAATTAAAATTCATTTGATTCATTTGAATTAAAATTCATTTAATTCATTTGATTTATTTAATTCATTAAATTCATTTTACTGGAGAAACATGAAAATGTAGTTTTTATAGCGTGTGAACGGAGTGGAGGAATTGAAAGATGAAATTGATTCGCTTTTGAAACAGTTCGTGATTCAAGTCGCGGAGATTGGATTTGAAGTGTGACTATAGGTTCGCAATATAATAGCGCAATCACGAAATTTCACTACGTGTAGAGTGGAATAATTCCTTCCGCTATATAGCTAGTTTTCGTATCGAATCCCCCCTTCAAAAAACGTGGGGATTTTTGATCCTTTTGGACAAAGGATGTTGGCAAAAAGGCGTTAAGTCAGATCACGACCCTACGGGTACAACGCTCTCTCTCTCTCTCTCTTCGCGAAGGGTTAATATGCAAATAAAGTCCAGCGTGCGCGTATGGACACAAATACATGTACATGTGGGGGCAAAAGAAGAAAAAAAGTTAATTCGTCCACACGAGGAGCGAGAAAGAGAGCAAGAGAGAGAGAGAGAGAGAGCAAAAAAAAGAAAGACAGAGAGAGAAAGATAGAAAGAGTGTTATAAGAAGAAAATAACGTTGCAACTTTTCGAGACGCAAGTTTCTGCTTGCGTACAAGTGGGGTAATAACCGTATATGAAAGGGTCACAATGGAGCCCGACATACCGCAGCCGGTGAAAAAAAAGGGCAATAAATATATTTTGACATGGGAGAGCCTCAGTATATGCGGAGCAATCGTATAACGCTCTCTTCCTGCACTGGATGTATATGTATGTATATACGTCAATCCAAATGCCTGGACTTTAGCCAGGTGCCCTTTTTGTTATGCCAAGCGAATTATAGCGTCGACGTCCTAAGACGACGATAGAAAGGCAAATATTGTAGCAACAAGGGGTGACGTTATAATGTTTTCATTTGCCATGTCCCGCGAAATATGCGCACACGCGATGATGATACTATATATATACATGTCCCACATGAGAATTTTAATCTGCCTTTTGTGAATTAATTCCTAATATTCTATTGAGATAAGGGAGATAGGGTCAATTATTGTAATTATCCTTGTGTTCTTTTTCTTATCTCGTATATCTGTTTGTAAAGTGATATAATTTGCTGTTTGCACGCGGAGATCAATTTTGTAATTATGCTTGTCAACTCTCTCGATCTGATATATACGCACTCATTCGGGAAAAAAGATTAATATTTCACTCAGAAGCTATAGTAAATTATTTATTTGTTGCAAATTAAATTTTATTTTGTTTAGATAAATTCTATTTGGTTTAAATAAATTTTATTTTGTTTTGATAAATTTTATTTTGTTTGGATAAAATTTACTTGGTTTGGATAAATTTTACTTGGTTTAGATAAATTTTACTTGGTTTATATAAATTCTATTTGGTTCAGATACCATTTTGTTAAGATAACAATTTTATTTGGCTTAATAAAATAATTTGTGCTAAGTAAAATTACTTGTTATATGAATAAAATTATTTGCTGCTCTCTACTTTTGAATTAGTCACTTTTGACCATAATTCAACAGCACCAATTCGTTTATTAAGTGAATTAGTAACAGGTACTGATTAATTTTTAGTCAAAAATAGCTCATTGTAATTTAATTTATGTTATAGTCTAACGTTTAAATTATATTAAATAATAAAAATTAAATTCAATTAATAAAAATTAGTAGATTTATGTCTAGCGAATAGTTTAGTAATTTTCTTACAAAAAATTAGTCGTATTTTATTGTTGAATTAGTTATTTTCTACTTATAATTAGTAATTTTTTATTAATTGAAATAGCGACGAATTATTCGCGGTTTTACTATGTTTAATTAGTATAGTTTACCACTAATTCAGATTTAGAGAGTAAATAAAATTATTATTTTTGCTACTCTCTAAAATTGAATTAGTAAAAATATGTTTACTAATTTGAATTAGTGACTGACTTTTTGCTTTGAAATTAGAAAATTTTACTAATAAATAGTAATTTCTACTAATTTAAAAGCAAACTTTAAAAGCAACTTTTTGCTTTGAAATTAGTAAATTTTACATATTTGTGATAACTAAAAATATTTGTGACAAATAAAATAATTTTTTGGACCGAATAAAATTATTACTTTTCCTAAATAAAATTATTTTTACTGAATAAAATTAATCTAAATGACATTATTATTTCTGATAATTAAAATTATTTGTGCCGAATAAAATTATTACTTTTGCTAAATAAAATTATTTGTTTTGAATTTTATTATTTTTGCAAATAATGATGACAATAAAACCTTAATTTTGAATTAGTTAAAATAAAAATGTTTACTACTTTGAATTAGTAACTGACATTTTGCTTTGGGGTCGTCCATAAATTACGTAAGACATTTTGGGGGGAGGGGTGGGTCTGCTAAATCTAACGAACCTTAGAAAAAATGGCGCTAATGTATGTAAAAAATCTTACAAAGGGGGGTGGGTGGTCAAATTTTCCAAAAAAGTGACTTACGTAATTTATGGACGGCCCCTTTTGAATTTCTAAAATTTACTAATATATTAGTAGATGTTATTATTTACTAGCAAAATTTATTAATTTTAAAGCAAAAATTCAGTCACTATTTCGAATTAGAAAAAACATTTTTACTAATTCAGATTTTGAGAAAATAATTAAGTTTTTTTTGCTTAATATAAAATAAATTTGATTATCACTTGCTAATAATAATGGAATAATTATTTTATTGTCATTTGTTAGAATTAGAATTTCTTTATTCTGCGCCGGTCAAGCGAATGTTAATATTAGAAAAATAATCACAATATTTGTCGTAAAACAATTAATATTTTCTATTTTCTCACTATTAAAAAGTCACAAATTTTCGTTGTATTGTTACTTGAAATTTTTTTTTGAATCATTCTTCACTTAAACTTGATAATTTTTGTAGATTTTTCAATAAAAGTGATAACGAATAATTGAAAAACATAAAGACTTCGCAAAAAAAATAATTCACTTAAAAATTGCTATTTCTTGTAATTTAAATAAATAATTGCAATAAATATTTAGAGTAATTAATTACAATAAATAATTACAGTAAATAGTTATAGTAATTAATTATTAATTATAATAAATAATTAGTGTAATTAATTAGAATAAATAATTCAAGTAATTAATTAGAATAAATAATTCAAGTAATTAATTGCAATAATAAAATAAGAAAAAACGTTTTTGTTGTTTAAAACTTCAAAATATAAACTTACAGTTTACTGTTAAAAAGCCTGACAGTTTTGAAGTAAAAGAATAGAAAATTTATTTTTGACACTATTTTACACTTTGAACAATTAAAAATTTACTTGATTGACTTTATTTGCTTTGAAATATTCCAAAATTTCGATTATTTACGGTATTTTCTCTCTTAGAGCTTTGTTGATAATTAAATTCTGAATCTTTCACGCAGAAAGAATTTTTGATTAAAATTTTTATCTAATTTTTTTGCAAATAGTGCATAAAAAATTAACACGCATTGTTAATTTTACTAAATATAGAAGATTCCTTAAAATTCAATTTTCGTACTTTGCTAATTACGTCTCTCGCTGTTGCAATAATCGTTCACCAAAACATTGGTTTAATCTCGGAACTGTAAAATTTTTGAATAAGAGCGCGAGTATCTTTATACTTAAAAGACAAATTGTTTTCGAAAAAAATTGAAATTCGTTCTAAAATCATAATCAAAATTACCGATTTATGATGAAAAAAAACATGTAGTCGAAAAATCGGCAAACTTTTGATTTGTAAATTGCAATGTATCGGTAAAAATTTCGATAAATTTGAATGATATTTTTAATTTAAATTTTCAGAAGTGTTATTTTTTTTATAACTGTCGCTAATTAGTGGAAAGAAAAAACTACTGGCGCTAATTACCTTTTCGAAGGATATTAAATTGAGATAACAAATTCGTTTTTTGTTTCAATTTGATGTCCTTAGAAAAACTGTGGGAGTATAGTTTTGATAAAAATAAAATTTTATAATAATGAAAAAAGTAAAAATATACTGAAGAAAGAAAACGTCAAAAAGACCTGACACTTTGGGAGACTTAAACGCCCGCACAAGTGATAACATAATAATATATCAAAGAATGAAACACTCACCTTTTCTGACAAACTAATTCAACAATAAACGATGCACTCAAACGATCTCCACGATATTGGGGACAGTCAATGAGATCGTTTGAAACTTTAAAGTTCCTTTACCACATGATAACGATCCAACACTCTTTTAATGAAAATCACAAATCGCTTATGTTTTAAAACAAAAGGAAATATAAAAATAACTAGTCACGTGGAGAGACAACTTTCGGCGCGACACTTTAAAGATTTTTTTCGCCGATCTTGACACGTGAAAAATTTTTCTTTTCTTGCAAAGAAAAAGAATAAAATAGTGTTGCTTGTTGTGGAATATAAAATTTGTTTTATATTCGCGCGTATATCCAAAAAAGAGATGATTCAAGATGTGTCCAAGTGCCGACGGGCTTTTAAATACACAGGTGGCAATAGTAGAAAAAGCACGATCACAAAAATTTTTATGTGTATATATATATAATACAGCCGCGTCGAGGGACAGGAGAAGACTGCCGCTTAGAGATCTGCGACCTGTGCGACTGAGGAAGGTGTCTCAGCTCTCTTGCCTGAGCCGATTTTCTCCTGGCAGGAGTACAATCGGCCCACCTGTTAACGCCTGCTTCAGTGCGAACCAATCGGATTAAAAGGGGACCTAGGTCCCAACCAATCGTACAACACGATTATGTAAGACAAGTACCCCCTGAACACACCCACTTTTTCCCCTTAGAATTTAACTCGCGTGTATAGCTTTATACATATAAGTCTCTCCTTATTGTGTTAAGAGAGATTCCCCCTGCGACCAGGTGAATTCGAATTTATTGTTGTTAATACACTTTTTTCTAATCTATTTCTTTTCTTCCTTATTTTTTGCAGAGGGGGAATGTCTCCTTATTTTGGCAATGAGAACTGTCAAACATTTATGTTTAGCAGTTCATGCTTTTGTGATTTTGTATTTTCAGAATGAAAAAGAAAATTTTTTTCTTTGCGGTTACTGTGACTGTAAAGAATTATAATTTCATGAAGAACTTAGAAATTAAATGATTATAAAACATGAAGATAACGAACACTGCGAATCGAAGAACTTCGTTCTTCGAGTCGGAGTGATCGTTATCTTCATATTTTATAATCATTAAAGACGACCGAGTGATAAAATCATATTATTTTATGTTAGATGTTAAATTTTTTTCTTTAATTCAACCCATTTTTTGTCTAGAAATGCTTCGGATCTTGCAATCAGTTTTATAAGTTGATTTTAAGAAATATTTCATTCCTTTGAACAGTGTAAGATAATATACCAAGATTTCAAGAGTAAAAAACGTAAATCTTAATCTAAGCTCTCATCAGTATTAAATTCAGCATATTCTCTGATTCTGTTAAATCCTCCAAACTCCATTGCATAAATTCATCATTGGTTGTCTTATAGAAATGTTTCATCTCAATTTAAGATTGCCATGCTGCTTTAAAAACTTACTTTTTACTGCGTGTAAAAATCAAAATTATGAGTAAAAACGTATTTAAACTGTAAGCTTTTTAAGACTTTATGAATAATTTTGCATTGTTCAAATGGAAGAAAATATTTTGGCTCAATTTCAGATCATAAAACTTTGGTTTAAAGATGTCAAATCAGCTTACTTTCATTTTAAGACAAAAAATTTGAACAATGAAAAGTATATTCATAAAAGACTTAAAAAGCTTGCAGTTTAAATATACGTTTTTTCTTAAATTCAACACACTTTTTGTCTTGCATGGATTTTAGATTTCGTATTGAACATATAAGATCTTTAAATTGGAATCAGTCGCAAGTTTAATTAACTTTTCAGATACTTTTAACTGAAAATCAATCAGTTTTTCACTGACAAACAATTATTTTCAACTAATTTAGAAGCAAAGAGTCAGTCAACGATTGTATGTTAAAACTATGATTTTTAAATGATTCAAGTGCAGAGAGTTACTGTGTATATTTGTTACACTGAATAAAGAGTGTAAAAAATCTGATTCTAAAGAAAAAAATGTGTCTTATTTCCAGTTATAAAAGTTTTAAGACTGTTTTGATTTTCCGAACAGTTTTTAACTCTTCTGTCACCCCAATAGTTTTATTGTGCTTAATTTTAGATGCTTATCTCTTAAATTTTGCAATTTTGTATGTTGATTTTAAGACAGATTTTTTAAATTAAGACCAGTGAATCTGAATTTTACTTTTTTAGTATAAATTAGACATGTAAACTTTTTATTTGCACTCAATTTAGTTTACGTTCGAAATCTCAATTTCAGACTGACTTAATATAAGATTTATCTAAAATGCTTTTTACATTTATAAATCGTAGTAAAAATAAAACAGTATCAATGTGCAAAATTTGTATATTTACCTTTATCGTGTACAGAGTCAATATATTATACTGTAAATAAAAAAAAATTACACTACAAAAAATAAAGCATACTTTTTTGTCAATTTTGGACCAAAAACCGTTAGTATATTATTTTTGACTGAATTTTAGCCTTGTCGCAGTATTATTCTGAATTCTAAACTTGTTGAATAAAAATAAAATTTATAGAAATAAAGTGTTGAAGTATTTGCAACAAAAACACAATTTTTCTTGTATATTCAACACATTTTTGGACTTAAAATAAAAGTAAGCATCTAAAAATTAATTTTTGGTATTAAATTATACAATTATTAATAAAATTGTATCAGGAAATTCAGAAATAAATTAATATTCTTAATCTATATATAAGTACAAATATTTACAAAAGTTATATATTTGTAGATTTAAATTTAGTAAAAAAATTATACCCATTTAAGTCTTAATTTATAATGATGATACTATCTTAAATTTAGAATGAAGAAATTGTAGTTTTTAGTTCATAGTTGCTTTTAATGTTGTAACATAAACGTGTTTACAGAATGCATTCAAGATCTATTTGTATGAAAATCATCACTGTGTTAAAAATTTTGTATAAAAGATTTTATGTATTTGTTCCTTAAACTAAGATTAAGATTTTACTGTTATTTTTGTAGTTGACTTCTAATGATGGCAGGTTGTGATTTCAGTTTTATTTTAAACAAAATTTACACAATAATTTTACTAATTAACTATAATAATTTGAATGTTTTTTCATTCATTCACTTTTTCTGTCCCTCACACTCTGAAGTTGTCTTTTGTTTTTTGTTATCTTTAGACAGATTGTATATTATATTATTATGTTATAATTATTTTTATTTTATAATTAATTCAAAATTGTAATGACAAATAGAAATCATCCGAATTTTTTTCAATTCTTTTCATTAAAAGACTAAAATTTTGTTAAATATTATATGTTTTGTCAAATTGAAATTATACAGATTTTTGTTCTTTACTTCTAAGCAAAATTAGAAAATTGTTAAACAACTGTGATTAAGAAATAGAAAATTTATTTATTTTGCATTATTTTTCTTTATGAATCACAATTTTTTTAACAAAATTATTATTTTGTTTTAGAAAAAGAAGAAAAATATTTGCACAATTCCTATTTTTAATCTTATTTTTGGAACAGGATTTTCTACAGGAATTCAGACATTCAAAAATTTCAAATTCAAACCTTTTTTAAATTAAACAACTTATAAAAGTATTGATATAAAACATGACCGAGAGATATAAAATCATTATTTTATATTATAAGAATATTGTTACTGCGTAACTTCATTAAAATTATTTTCATCATTTTAATTCAATTACTATACTTTCTAGAATTTTAAATTATTTTTTATGAAAAGAATAATTGAATTCCTTAAAAAAAATTTATTTTTTATAAAAATAATTGAATTCGTGTGAAATTTTTATTATTTATGAAAATGTTTACATACAATTTTATAAAAAAAATTTAAAAATAATTGAATTATTTTTGGGAAATTTTATTAAAATAGTAGATAATGAAAATCATTGAAATTAGAAAAATTGTTGAAAATAATTGAAATTATGACAAGAATTTTATTGCCATTTATGAAAATAATTGAACTTTGGAGAAGAATTTTGTTATTTATAAAGATAATTGGGATTTTGACAAGAATTTTTTTTTTAATTTTGAACATATAGTTGAATTTTATAAGAAGAATTTTAATTTTTTTTTTGAAAATAATTGAATTCTTGTGAAATTTTTATTATATTTATGAAAATAATAAAATGTTTTCATACAATTTTATTAAAAAATGTTTAAAGTAATTGAATTCTTTTTGGGAAATTTTATTAAAATAGTAGATATTGAAAATCATTGAAATTAGAAAAATTTTTGAAAATAATTGAAATTAGGACAAGAATTTTTTTACAATGAAAATATAATAATTGAACTTTGGAGAAGAATTTTGTTAGTTATAAAGATAATTGGGATTTTTAGAAAAATTTTTCTCAAATTTTGAACATAGTTGAATTTTATAAGAAGAATTAAAATTTTTTTTTTAAATAATTGAATTTATGCAATTATTTGTTATTTCCAAAATACTTTTTGTACTGTTACAAAATTTTTATAGTAAACAATTAAATGTAGCAATTATAATTATTAGCAATAATATTACTGAATAATTATAATATTAGTGCAACAACAATAATATCCTCATTTTTTATTTTACTAAATAGTAATTTTAGAATGAGATTTTTTATAGTCTATTTATTATACTAAATATTATTGTTATTATTATTATCATAATCAAATGATGCTAATAATTAATAATAATAGACCTTATTAAGGTATTATATTATATGCGGTACAAAATAAGGACCTTATTATTAATTTAAGTAAATAATCACGTAAACTATATTTCGAGATTAAAAGAAAGAAAAATTTCTTGTTTATCATTACTGTAATAATAAATTTTTAATAGAAACCAAAAATAACATCAATAATATATTTTGCAAATCAAAGCGTGCAGGGAGCTCGTCACTTTTAATTCACAACTTAAAAGCACTGTTAGAAAACAATTGAGAAAATTATTATGCGGTATACCTTCTCTGCAGTAGGCTAAGAGGATGCGGCATTTATTTACGCACGAGTTGAAAATTTTCCTAGACCAACTGAAACAGTAGCTATTCCCATTCTCGTCCGATTTGATCCCAATATTTATGACACTTGACCTTAAAAGTTATTCTCAATATTATATCTTTTGCAATAAAATAAAAAGGGTTCATAAAGCCGATTATAGGTTTTGCCCCATACAATATAACCGCATTATCCTATGCGGTTTATTTTTACAATCCGCCCACAATTCAGATAATTGCTTTATTATTTTAGGGTACAAGATTTTAACAAAATGTAGTCCTTGCTGCTACTGTGTATAATAAAGAAATAATCCAATGTATATACCACTAAATTGTATATATATAATAATAAACTGCGGAAAATTCCCCCAAGTTTATATATTTTAACCCTTCAACAAAAATGATATAGTTTAAAATAAACAGAAAACTTGTAATTATCCGATCATATAAATTATGTTTTAACAATATGCGTATTTTCCAGGGGATTATCGCTTCTTAAAGTGTGCTCGACAGTATAGTTAAGCA